TCGCTTAGGGTGCCAGAGGTCCAGGATTCAAATTCTGGATGAGCCCTTAAGGGCACTTCTTGGACATCCGTGCAACTGCAAATTAATGTGTAAGGCATTAGATCGAATATGTTAGTAAGAGGACACATCCTACTCTAAGCGGTGAACACAACTCTATGAAAACAACGATATGAATTTTTCTTCGTCTTGCTTCTACATAATATAATGACTTTCATTTGATATACGGCAAATGTTGCCATGGTGTATTGTATTCCTTTACAATAAATAGCAAATGTCGAGTTGAGACCAAACCAAGAAGAGACAATATTTGAAAGCGCATTCCCAGAGAGTTGAGCCAAATAATGACCTAACCTTTCGTTGGTATTTGTAAGGGAATAAGTTAAAAGTTTTCCTGGAATTAACTTGTCCTTATACGCTGGTGATTTATCAAACCCACTCATCCGAGAGGAGTTTTGGTGATGTTCCTGAAACTGTGACTATATCTGAACTACCTGTGGAATGGTGTCAACATGGAATTTACAGGGGATGGTCAGTTCCAAAAAGCAATTGAGAACAACAGAGAGACCGGTAAACGTACATGGAAGGAAGTGCATCTTTCAACTCAGACCGTGAGGGTTTTAAGAACCATGGACACAACATCAGAGTACTTCCCACTAGCTAAACCAGCACCCATGTAATGTGCACATTGAGAGCTTAAATGAGCATTTTGTTGGTGAAATTCCTGAGCACATCAAAGCTCTACTTTGGATTAAACATGGATTATAAAGTGAGCTTTCTTAAGTGTGCTGTCTTGACAACGTACTCTCTTTACAGCCATAGAGGGCTCGTCGGGGATTTGAACCCGAGACCTCTCGCACCCAAAGCGAGAATCATACCACTAGACCAACGAGCCACTGCCACTCACCACCCTTCTAAATGTGTGAGAACAGGATCAAACTGTCACCAAGTGGTGGAAACGCAGGCGTTTTCATCATGCCATCTAGGCCGAGAGCACCCCCTACTGGTAGGTGCTGTTAACTATAGGCTCGTTGGTCTAGGGGTATGATTCTCGCTTAGGGTGCGAGAGGTCCCGGGTTCAAATCCCGGACGAGCCCTTGAGGGCACTTATTGGACATCAGTGCAACTGCAGATTTAATGTGTAAAGCATTAGATTGAATATGTTAGCAAAAGGACACATTTTGCATCTTTATGACAGGGAATCCTACTCAAAGCGGTGAACACAACTCTATGAAAACAACGATATGAATTTTTCTTCCTCTTGCTTCTACATAATATAATGACTTTCATTTGAAATACGGCAAATGTTGCCATGGTGTATTGTATTCCTTTACAATAAATAGCAAATGTCGAGTTGAGACCAAACCAAGAAGAGACAATATTTGAAAGCGCATTCCCAGAGAGTTGAGCCAAATAATGACCTAACCTTTCGTTGGTATTTGTAAATCATTAGATTGAATATGTTAGCAAAAGGACACATTTTGCATCTCTATGACAGGGAATCCTACTCAAAGCGGTGAACACAACTCTATGAAAACAACGATATGAATTTTTCTTCCTCTTGCTTCTACATAATATAATGACTTTCATTTGAAATACGGCAAATGTTGCCATGGTGTACTGTATTCCTTTACAATAACTCTAGCAAATTTCGAGTTGAGACCCAACAAGAACAGACAATATTTGAAAGCACATTTCCCAAAGAGTTGAGCCAAATTATAACCTAACCTTGTTTGGTATTTCTAAGGTTTTTTTGGAATGACTTGTCCTGAAGCTTTCATCCTTTCATTTGTTTCATCTTCATTTTATCTTCTTGACAGCATCTACATGTAGTTGATGTTTGAGCAGTTGTAGGACAATAGGGTGTGAAGATACTAGGAGGCCAAGGAGTAACAAACCCATACCTTCAACCTGGGGTAAGCCTTTTGGTGGTTGGCGCTGGTGATTTTATCAACCCACTCATCTGGGAGCGTTTTGGTGATATTCCTGAAACTGTGACTAAATCTGAACTACCTGTGGAATAGTGTCAACATGGAATGTACAGGGGATGGTCATTAAGACCAAAAGCAATTGAGAACAACAGAGACACAGAAACGTACATGAAAGGAAGTGCATGTTTCATCTGTGGTAAAGCTTTAATGTTTCACATTACAACTCAGACCGTGAGAGTTCTAAGAACCATGGTCAAAACATCAGAGTCCTACCCACTAGCCAAACCAGGGACTTGAACCATTGACCTCTCGCTTAGGGTGCCAGAGGTCCAGGATTCAAATTCTGGATGAGCCCTTAAGGGCACTTCTTGGACATCCGTGCAACTGCAATTTAATGTGTAAGGCATTAGATCGAATATGTTAGTAAGAGGACACATCCTACTCTAAGCGGTGAACACAACTCTATGAAAACAACGATATGAATTTTTCTTCGTCTTGCTTCTACATAATATAATGACTTTCATTTGATATACGGCAAATGTTGCCATGGTGTATTGTATTCCTTTACAATAAATAGCAAATGTCGAGTTGAGACCAAACCAAGAAGAGACAATATTTGAAAGCACATTCCCCAGAAGTTGAGGCCAAATAATGACCTAACCTTTCGTTGGTATTTGTAAGGAATAAGTTAAAAGTTTTCCTGGGAATTAACTTGTCCTTATACGGCTGGTGATTTATCAAAACCCACTCATCCGAGAGGATTTTTGGTGATGTTCCTGAAACTGTGACTATATCTGAACTACCTGTGGAATGGTGTCAACATGGAATGTTACAGGGATGGTCAGTTCCAAAAAGCAATTGAGAACAACACAGAGGACCGGTAAACGTACATGGAAGGAAGTGCATCTTTCAACTCAGACCGTGAGGGTTTTAAGAACCATGGACACAACATCAGAGTACTTCCCACTAGCTAACCGAGCCCCTCATGTTAATGTGCACATGAGAGCTTAAATGAGCATTTTGTTGGTGAAATTCCTGAGGCACATCAAAGCTTACTTTGGATAAACATGGATTATAAAGTGGAGCTTTCTTAAGTGTGCTGTCTTGACAACTTACTCTCTTTACAGCCATAGAGGGCTCGTCGGGGATTTGAACCCGAGACCTCTCGCACCCAAAGCGAGAATCATACCACTAGACCAACGAGCCACTGCCACTCACCACCCTTCTAAATGTGTGAGAACAGGATCAAACTGTCACCAAGTGGTGGAAACGCAGGCGTTTTCATCATGCCATCTAGGCCGAGAGCACCCCCTACTGGTAGGTGCTGTTAACTATAGGCTCGTTGGTCTAGGGGTATGATTCTCGCTTAGGGTGCGAGAGGTCCCGGGTTCAAATCCCGGACGAGCCCTTGAGGGCACTTATTGGACATCAGTGCAACTGCAGATTTAATGTGTAAAGCATTAGATTGAATATGTTAGCAAAAGGACACATTTTGCATCTTTATGACAGGGAATCCTACTCAAAGCGGTGAACACAACTCTATGAAAACAACGATATGAATTTTTCTTCCTCTTGCTTCTACATAATATAATGACTTTCATTTGAAATACGGCAAATGTTGCCATGGTGTACTGTATTCCTTTACAATAACTCTAGCAAATTTCGAGTTGAGACCCAACCAAGACAGACAATATTTGAAAGCACATTCCCAAAGAGTTGAGCCAAATTATAACCTAACCTTTGTTTGGTATTTCTAAGGGTTTTTCTTGGGGAATGAACTTGTCCTGAAGCTTTCATACTTTTCATTTGTTTCATCTTCATTTATCTTCTTGACAGCATCTACATGTAGTTGATGTTTGAGCAGTTGTAGAGCAAATAGGTGTTGAAGATACTAGGAGGCCAAGGAGTAACAAACCCATACCTTCAACCTGTAAGCCTTTTGGTGGTTGGCGCTGGTGATTTATCAACCCCACTCATCTGGGAGCAGTTTTGGTGATATTCCTGAAACTGTGACTTAATCTGAACTACCTGTGAATAGTGTCAACATGGAATGTACAGGGGATGGTCTATTTAAGATCCAAAAAGCAATTGAGAACAACAGAGACACAGAAACGTACATGAAAGGAAGTGCATGTTTCATCTGTGGTAAAGCTTTAATGTTTCACATTACAACTCGAACCGTGAGAGTTCTAAGAACCATGGTCAAAACATCAGAGTCCTACCCACTAGCCAAACCAGGGACTTTGACCATTGACCTCTCGCTTAGGGTGCCAGAGGTCCAGGATTCAAATTCTGGATGAGCCCTTAAGGGCACTTCTTGACATCCGTGCAACTGCAATTTAATGTGGTAAAAAGGCATTAGATCGAATATTTTAGTAAGAGGACGCATCCTACTCTAAGCGGTGAACCACAACTCTATGAAAACAAAAACGATATGAATTTTTCTTCGTCTTGCTTCTACATAATATAATGACTTTCCATTTGATATAACGGCAAATGTTGCCATGGTGTATTGTATTCCTTTACAATAAATAGCAGATGTCGAGTTGAGACCAAACAAGAAGAGACAATATTTGAAAAGAGCACATTTCCCAAAGAGTTGAGCCAAATAATGACCTAACCTTTCGTTGGTATTTGTAGGGAATAAGTTAAAAGTTTTTCCTGGAATTAACTTGTCCTTATACGCTGGTGATTTATCAACCCACTCATCCGAAAAGAGGAGTTTTGCTGATGTTCCTGAAACTGTGACTATATCTGAACTACCTGTGGAATGGTGTCAACATGGAATTTACAGGGGATGGTCAGTTAAGATCAAAAAGCAATTGAAGAACAACGAGGACCGGTAAACGTACATGGAAGGAAGTGCATCTTTCAACTCAGACCGTGAGGGTTTTAAGAACCATGGACACACATCAGAGTACTTCCCCTAGCTAAACCAGCACCCATGTAATGTGCACATTGAGAGCTTAAATGAGCATTTTTGTTGGTGAAATTTCCTGATTAAAACATGGATTAATAAATGAGCTTTCTTAGTGCGCTGTCTTGACAACGTACTGTCTTTACAGCCATAGAGGGCTCGTCCGGGATTTGAACCCGAGATCCTCTCGCACTCCAAAGCTAGAAATCATACACTAGACCAACGAGCCACTGCCACTCACCCACCCTTCTAAATGTGTGAGAACAGATTCAAACTGTCACCAAGTGGTGGAAACGCAGGCGTTTTCATCATGCCATCTAGGCCGAGAGCACCCCCTACTGGTAGGTGTTGTTAACTATAGGCTCGTTGGTCTAGGGGTATGATTCTCGCTTAGGGTGCGAGAGGTCCCGGGTTCAAATTCTGATGAGCCAGGAAGTGCATGTTTCATCTGTGGTAAAGCTTTAATGTTTCACATTACAACTCACCCAAAGCGAGAATCATACCACTAGACCAACGAGCCACTGCCACTCCCGACCCTTCTAAATGTGTGAGAACAGATCAAACTGTCACCAAGTGGTGGAAACGCAGGCGTTTTCATCATGCCATCTAGGCCGAGAGCACCCCCTACTGGTAGGTGTTGTTAACTATAGGCTCGTTGGTCTAGGGGTATGATTCTCGCTTAGGGTGCGAGAGGTCCCGGGTTCAAATTCTGGATGAGCCCTTAAGGGCACTTTCTTGGACATCCGTGCAACTCCAATTTAATGTTGTAAGGCATTAGATCGAATATGTTAGCAAAAGGACACATTTTGCATCTCTATGACAGGGAATCCTACTCAAAGCGGTGAACACAACTCTATGAAAACAACGATATGAATTTTTCTTCCTCTTGCTTCTACATAATATAATGACTTTCATTTGAAATACGGCAAATGTTGCCATGGTGTACTGTATTCCTTTACAATAACTCTAGCAAATTTCGAGTTGAGACCAAACCAAGAAGAGACAATATTTGAAAGCACATTCCCAAAGAGTTGAGCCAAATTATAACCTAACCTTTCTTTGGTATTTCTAAGGGTTTCTTGGGATTAACTTGTCCTGAAGCTTTCATACTTTTCATTTGTTCATCTTCATTATTCTTCTTGACAGCATCTACATGTAGTTGATGTTTGAGCAGTTGTAGGACAATAAGGTGTTGAAGATACTAGGGGCCAAGGAGTAACAAACACCCATACCTTCACCTGTAAGCCTTTTGGTGGTTGGCGCTGGTGATTTATCAACCCCACTCATCTGGGAGCAGTTTTTGGTGATATTCCTGAAACTGTGACTAAATCTGAACTACCTGTGAAATAGTGTCAACACAGGAATGTACAGGGGATGGTCAATTAAGATCAAAAAGCAATTGAGAACAACAGAGACCACAGAAACGTACCATGAAAGGAAGTGCATGTTTTTCATCTGTGGTAAAGCTTTAATGTTTCACATTACAACTCAGACCGTGAGAGTTTTCTAAGAACCATGCAAAACATCAGAGTCCCTACCCACTAGCCAAACCAGGGACTTGAACCATTGACCTCTCGCTTAGGGTGCCAGAGGTCCAGGATTCAAATTCTGGATGAGCCCTTAAGGTGTAAGGCATTAGATCGAATATGTTAGTAAGAGGACACATCCTACTCTAAGCGGTGAACACAACTCTATGAAAACAACGATATGAATTTTTCTTCGTCTTGCTTCTACATAATATAATGACTTTCATTTGATATACGGCAAAATGTTGCCATGGTGTAATTGTATTTCCTTACAATAAATAGCAGATGTCGAGTTGAGACAAAACAAGAAGAGACAATATTTAAAAGCACATTCCCAAAGAGTTGAGCCAAATAATGACCTAACCTTTCGTTGGTATTTGTAAATCATTAGATTGAATATGTTAGCAAAAGGACACATTTTGCATCTCTATGACAGGGAATCCTACTCAAAGCGGTGAACACAACTCTATGAAAACAACGATATGAATTTTTCTTCTCTCTGCTTCTACATAATATAATGACTTTCATTTGAAATACGGCAAATGTTGCCATGGTGTACTGTATTCCTTCACATAACTCTAGCAAATTTCGAGTTGAGACACAAACCAAGAGTAGGACAATATTTGAAAGCACATTCCCAAAGAGTTGAGCCAAAATTATAACTAACCTTTCTTTGGTATTTTCTAAGGTTTTCTTGGGAATTGAACTTGTCCTGAAGCTTTCATACTTTTCATTTGTTTCATCTTTTATTTATCTTCTTGACAGCATCTACATGTAGTTGATGTTTTGAGCAGTTTGTAGGACAATAAGGTGTTTGAAGATACTAGGAGGCCAAGGAGTAACAAACCCATACCTTCAACCTGTAAGCCTTTTGTGGTGTTGGTGCGCTGGTGATTTATCAACCCACTCATCTGGGAGCAGTTTGGTGATATTCCTGAAACTGTGACTAAATCTGAACTACCTGTGGAAATAGTGTCAACCGGAATGTACAGGGGATGGTCATTAAGATCCAAAAGCAATTGAGAAACAACAGAGACACAGAAACGTACATGAAGGAAGTGCATGTTTCATCTGTGGTAAAGCTTTAATGTTTCACAACATTACAACTCAGACCGTGAGAGTTCTAAGAACCATGGTCAAACATCAGAGTCCTACCCACAAGCCAAACCAGGGACTTGAACCATTGACCTCTCGCTTAGGTGCCAGAGGTCCAGGATTCAAATTCTGGATGAGCCCTTAAGGGCACTTCTTGGACATCCGTGCAACTGCAATTTAATGTGTAAGGCATTAGATCGAATATGTTAGTAAGAGGAACCCATCCTACTCTAAGCGGGAACACAACTCTATGAAACAACGATATGAATTTTTCTTCGTCTTGCTTCTACATAATATAATGACTTTCATTTGATATACGGCAAAATGTTGCCATGGTGTATTGTATTCCTTTACAATAAATAGCAGATGTCGAGTTGAGACCAAACCAAGAAGAGACAATATTTGAAAGCACAGTCCAAAGAGTTGAGCCAAATAATGACCTAACCTTTCGTTGGTATTTGTAAATCATTAGATTGAATATGTTAGCAAAAGGACACATTTTGCATCTCTATGACAGGGAATCCTACTCAAAGCGGTGAACACAACTCTATGAAAACAACGATATGAATTTTTCTTCCTCTTGCTTCTACATAATATAATGACTTTCATTTGAAATACGGCAAATGTTGCCATGGTGTACTGTATTCCTTTACAATAACTCTAGCAAATTTCGAGTTGAGACCAAACCAAGAAGAGACAATATTTGAAAGCACATTCCCAAAGAGTTGAGCCAAATTATAACCTAACCTTTGTTTGGTATTTCTAAGGGTTTTCTTGGGAATGAACTTGTCCTGAAGCTTTCATACTTTTCATTTGTTTCATCTTCATTTATCTTCTTGACAGCATCTACATGTAGTTGATGTTTGAGCAGTTGTAGGACAATAGGGTGTTGAAGATACTAGGAGGCCAAGGAGTAACAAACCCATACCTTCAACCTGTAAGCCTTTTGGTGGTTGGCGCTGGTGATTTATCAACCCCACTCATCTGGGAGCAGTTTTGGTGATATTCCTGAAACTGTGACTAAATCTGAACTACCTGTGGAATAGTGTCAACATGGAATGTACAGGGGATGGTCAATTAAGATCCAAAAAGCAATTGAGAACAACAGAGACACAGAAACGTACATGAAAGGAAGTGCATGTTTCATCTGTGGTAAAGCTTTAATGTTTCACATTACAACTCAGACCGTGAGAGTTCTAAGAACCATGGTCAAAACATCAGAGTCCTACCCACTAGCCAAACCAGGGACTTGAACCATTGACCTCTCCGCTATGGGTGCCAGAGGTCCAGGATTCAAATTCTGGATGAGCCCTTAAGGGCACTTCTTGGACATCCGTGCAACTGCAATTTAATGTGTAAGGCATTAGATCGAATATGTTAGTAAGAGGACACATCCTACTCTAAGCGGTGAACACAACTCTATGAAAACAACGATATGAATTTTTCTTCGTCTTGCTTCTACATAATATAATGACTTTCATTTGATATACGGCAAATGTTGCCATGGTGTATTGTATTCCTTTACAATAAATAGCAGAATGTCGAGTTGAGACCAAACCAAGAAGAGACAATATTTGAAAGCACATTCCCAAAGAGTTGAGCCAAATAATGACCTAACCTTTCGTTGGTATTTGTAAATCATTAGATTGAATATGTTAGCAAAAGGACACATTTTGCATCTCTATGATGCAAAATTGCAACTGCAATTTAATGTGTAAGGCATTAGATCGAATATGTTAGTAAGGACACATCCTACTCTAAGCGGTGAACACAACTCTATGAAAACAACGATATGAATTTTTTCTTCGTCTTGCTTCTACATAATATAATGACTTTCATTTGATATACGGCAAATGTTGCCATGGTGTATTGTATTCCTTTCCAATAACTCTAGCAAATGTCGAGTTGAGACCAAACCAAGAAGAGACAATATTTGAAAGCACATTCCCAAAGAGTTGAGCCAAATAATGACCTAACCTTTCGTTGGTATTTGTAAGGGAATAGGTTAAAATTTTTCCTGGAATTAACTTGTCCTTATACGCTGGTGATTTATCAAACCCACTCATCCGAGAGGAGTTTTGGTGATGTTCCTGAAACTGTGACTATATCTGAACTACCTGTGGAATGGTGTCAACATGGAATTTACAGGGGATGGTCAGTTAAGATCCATAAAGCAATTGAGAACAACAGAGAGACCGGTAAACGTACATGGAAGGAAGTGCATCTTTCAACTCAGACCGTGAGGGTTTTAAGAACCATGGACACAACATCAGAGTACTTCCCACTAGCTAAACCAGCACCCATGTAATGTGCACATTGAGAGCTTAAATGAGCATTTTGTTGGTGAAATTCCTGATTAAACATGGATTATAACATGAGCTTTCTTAAGTGTGCTGTCTTGACAACGTACTGTCTTTACAGCTATAGAGGGCTCGTCCAGGATTTGAACCCGAGACCACTCGCACCCAAAGCCAGAATCATACCACTAGACCAACGAGCCACTGCCACTCACCACCCTTCTAAATGTGTGAGAACAGGATCAAACTGTCACCAAGTGGTGGAAACGCAGGCGTTTTCATCATGCCATCTAGGCCGAGAGCACCCCCTA